GGCGGGAGGGAGGAGAGGGCAGAGCGATCGGGGGGAGAGGAGAAGCGGCTTCGGTGGGCGCCGGTGACTGAACCGAGCAAGGGCAGCCTGCAGAAACACGCGGCAAGGAGCTGTTTTAAACACAGATGGTTTTATTTCAGCGTGTGGTTTGGAGTAGTCTCCTGTTTGTACCGGGCCCCCACAGCTCCGGAGCCAAGGCAGATGCACCAGTGCAAACAGGTGTGGGCTGGACTGGTCCAGCACTCCTCTCGTGGGATTTCGGGTCGCCGAGGGGCAGGGGAGCGGGAAGGAGCCCGACCGGGCGCTTCGCCAGCGGGAGGGCTTGGGGCTTGGGGCTTCCCACGATCACAAAGGCGTGTGCTTGCACAGGGGGAGCACGCCGGTACCAGCAACTGGTGCTGCCAGGCCTCCTTTCTGGGGTGAAAACTGCCCTTTCTGGGGACTTTGGTCGTTGTCAGCGATCCTTGGTAAGTTTTTCCTTGTTAAGGATTCCCCTCCCCTCCCTTGCAGTGGGCGTTGTTTATATGGAGCATTTCAAGTCCCAGAGGAGCTGTGGGAGGACTTTCTTTTTCCGTTCTGCTGCATGGCAGAGTCACAAATGAGCCTTGGCCAGATCCAGTAAGATCTGATTTCTCATTTAAAGGCATGAAATGAGGAGTGTAAGGGAAGGTTTTGAACGCGGTCTGATGAGGGATGGGTGAAGGAAAGGGAGGTAGATCCGATCAAGCACCGAGGACGGCTCTCCTCGCCTGGCAGTGCCCATTCCCAAGAGGAGATCGCTCTGCTTGCTCAGCCAACGTCCAGCCCCCGTATCCAACCAGGATGGCAGCCTACCAGCACTGCTGCGTCCTCCTGAGCGTCTTATTTCTTCCACTTGTACCTCTGTGCCGAGGGGGTTGATTATTCACTGCCTGCAAACACTCCCTAGCAAACAGGACCTGGTGGCTCGAGTCTCCACCTTCTGCCAAAAAAGACTTGAGCTCAAAACAAGACCGATTCCTCCGTCTGCACGAGAATGCTCCTGCGAGGCTCGGCCACTGCCCTGCCAGCTGTGGCAGCGTGCCTGGGAGCAGGGTATGGGTTGTTAGCAGCACTCGCTCTACTGTGCCTAAAGATCACTGACCCCCTTCCCCACCCTCTTCCCAACAAAATACCGTCTTAAGGAGCAGGAAGATGTTTTTTAATTGGAGACAAAAGCTCTCCTTTTGAAATGAGATGCTGGTGATCCACTGGATCACTGTGGCTCAGTCTTGCTCTCTGGAGCATCCCTAACTGTTCTCCACTACTTTTATTGCGATTCAGAAAAATCAGCGACTCTCTAAAGTCACTTCCTTTGCTTGGAGTCATGTCCCGCATGTTTTATTAGCGAAGTGCAGTACAGAACCTCCTGAAGCCCACTGCGAAGCTCTCTCCTGCTCTCCTCCTCTCCTCCTCTCCTCCTCTCCCACGTCAGCGATGTGCCTGTTGAGTCTGAAGTCGGGACTCAGCACCGAGCGCGTGGAGGTGGGACCAGGGATGCTCTCCCGGGGTCCCAGCTCCCTGCACGCAGCGCACACAGCGTGTGCCGGCGTCTGCAAAGCTGCCAGCAGAACTGCAGAGCCCACCACAGCTACTTTTTCAGAGCTGTACAGGTGAGGGGACGTGCCTTGCCCCAGGTCCCGTGGAGCGGGCCTGAGAAGCCCCGGGTTCCGGCCTCCCGGCGTGACCCGCTGCTCGCCGCAGCTCCCCTCGCCGCTTCCAGTCCTCGCCTTGGGAAGGGAAACTCATTTTTCTTCCAGCTGAAGGAGTTCTGCCGTTCTTAACTCTGTCCCGTTTTGGCACAAATCCTTCCTCAGATGTGGTCACACATATGGATTATATCCCATCTGTTTAAAGGTTTAAATGCCTAAACCCTTAATGTTTGGATAATAGACGGATACGGTAGCTTTGTTATTCCGTCGTTAGCGTCTCGTTCTGCATTGAGTTTCCCAGCTATTTAGCTTCTGAGCTCTCTGCATAATTGTGTGTAACCTTTAAATCAGAATGTTTAACCCCTTGGTTTATGATCTTAAGCCCCATTATTCAGATGACTTTAACTTTTAATATCGGAGTGAGTACAGTAGGAGTCTTTCCAAAGCTCATCTGTAGCACGGCTCAAGCATCTGGCTTTCTGATCTTCAACTGGAATAACTTCCAGCAACAGCGCTGACGAAAAAGAACATTTCTTTTTTAGCACTGTGGCTTTTTTTTTTTCCCTTCTTTATTCCCATCAATATTGATGCTTGCCTTTTTACTCATCTTTTTTTCCGTTCTGTACCGTAGCTGTTTTCTTGCTCTTTTGTAGTGGCCCTGTCGTAGGGATTTCATTTTCCCTTTGAAGACCGAGCGTGTAGATAGGACAAAAGATGTGTCTGATGGAAAACAAGCAGAAGGGCTCTGCGAGACAGGAGCTGAAGCCTGTCAGAGTGGGACCTGGTGTTGCTGGGTGTCGTGGTGGCAGGCTCAGGGTCTGAAGAGACCTCAGCCTTTGCATTTTCCCCTGGCTTGTGGGGTTTGGTCTCCGTGGGCAGAAAATTTAGGCTCATGGAGGGAAAGTGCTTAGCCAGCTTATGTCTTTGCTGCTTGTGTGGTGCCTGTTTCGGGAGTAAAAGAGAACCCTCGTTCTCCAGTCCTGTCAGTCTGGTCCCTTTCCACCAGCACTAAATCCACTTCAAATACATATTTTTGTAAAGCCCTTTGAAAAACTTAATGGACTGTGATTTTTCTTCTTGTGGAAGAGCTGTAGTGGGACTGAGAGTGACACTTAATAGTCTGTCGAGAAAAGACATATGAAAAAACCCATCTATATTTTTTTAAGAGAACAGTGCTTTTGTTAGTCTGGTATTATTTCTGGCAACATCACAAGCTGCACATCGGAGTGGTTCAGACTGAACTTACATAAAAACAGTGCTCTGGGTGTTTACGTGAATGGATTGGTGGCTCTTCCTTGCTTCTCTCTCACCCAACATTGAATATCTTCCTGGAAAGTTGTGCTAAACCCTCCTCGGTGGCTGAAGTCCCCGATTTTTGCCCTCAGCCCCCCTTGGTGGGTGCAGGGCTTGTGGGGCTGTCCCCCCGGGCAGCCGCTGAGACGTGACCCTCTCTGCTTTCCTTTGCACGCTCCTGCTGCCCACAGCCATGTCCAAGTCAGCTGTCAAAATCTCGTCGGACCTGCTGTCTAACCCCCTGTGCGAGCAGGAGCCCGGCTTCCTGGAGATGGTCACGGCCTTCGACACGGCGATGAAGAGGATGGACTCCTTCAACCAGGAGAAGGTGAATACGGGTTTGGCTGAAGGAGGGGAAATCAGAGTGTGCCGAGGTGCTGTTGGTCTCTCCTCCTTCCCTGCTTGCTGTCGTCTCCAGGATGCTTCTCGCGCGAGTTTCTCTATAACCTTCCTCTTCTGCTGGCTCTGGTTGCGCTGGGGGTTTCAGCTCATCCCAGGCACACGGGAGAAAGTTGCTGTGTTTTGGTTAAAGGGCGTTGTGGTTGTGCTCAGAAGCCCACATCATCCGACAGTAGGCACTGGGCAAACACGTATCGTTGTGCAAACAGGCTTTTTCAACAAATATCTGAAGGGTGGGTGTCAGGAGGATGGGGCCAAGCTCTTTTCAGTGGTGCCCAGTGACAGGACAAGGGGCAATGGGCACAAACTGAGGCACAGGAAGTTCCATCTGAACATGAGGAAGAACTTCTTCCCTCTGAGGGTGACGGAGCACTGGAACAGGCTGCCCAGGGAGGTTGTGGAGTCTCCTTCTCTGGAGATATTCAAAACCCACCTGTACGAGTTCCTGTGCAGCCTGCTGTAGGTGACCCTGCTTCGGCAGGGGGGTTGGACTAGATGACCCACAGAGGTCCCTTCCAAACCCTACTTCTGTGATTCTGTGATTCTGTAATCACCCCTTTCGCTTCCAACAGGTGAATCAGATCCAGAAGACAGTCATAGAGCCTCTGAAAAAGTAAGTACCAGCGTTGCCTGATGAGCCACACCGCGCGTTTGTCACAGCCGTGTGCTGTAGGGATGCGTGTCGTCGACGGAGGTGCTGCCGGGTTAGAAAGCAGCTCCTCCCAGAGAGCCGAGAGCTCACGTCCCTGCGACAGAGCAGCATCCCCCTCGCTCCGCAGCTGGGGCACGGAGACCTGGGACGGTTTCGCTGAGCCCGTACTCTGCGGGAAGGGTGCAGACCTCTGGGGTGTTAGCCGGCCCGGTGTCTCTGTCTGTACTTTAAAGAACACCTGGGATGAGAAATACTGAATGCCTGAACGCGTGCAGCTTCTCTCCCTTTACGTGTTGGTTACGGCCAGCGCTTTGCTCCATCCAGAGGAGAAGAATCCAGCGGGGAGCTCCCCTGCGGGCAGCAGGCACCCACGGTGCCGTCCAGCCCAGGGCAGTGAGCGTTTGCTTGTTTGAACAGAAGTTTCTTTCCTTTGGAAGTTTTGTAAATAAAAAAGTAGAAGCTTGCTTTTAGTGAAAGTTCTTTTGTGTTTGTAAATAATATATCCATGCAGGAGGGAAAGGGGCAGAACAGAGCCGTCGTAGCTAGAGAGTGAGCAGGTGGGAAGGACGGACAGAAAGACACCGGCATCCCCCGTCCCGGGCTGGTGGCTGCTCCAGGACGGGATGGCTCGGACCCTGAGATGGAGCCAGGAGCTCGCTCCGCACCGTGCTCCTCTGCGACGGCACGGCCTGGAGATAAACCCGTACCGGGCAGCGAGCGCCGGAGCTGCTGGCAGCGCTGCTCCACTAGCAGGTTTCCATCTTGTCCCCCGTTCCTTGCTGGCGGGTGCCGCGCCGTGCGGCAGGGCTCGGTTGTGCCTCAGCACCGCAGCCGTTTTGTCGCCCAGGTCGCATCCGGTGCGGTTCCCCTCTGTCTGCACGGCTCCTGGGGGCGGGGGCAGGTGGCACAGGCCGTACCCCCAGGCCGTTTCAGGAGCGCCTCGCTTGCTGTGCCAAATGTCTCCCGAAACCCAGAGATCTGCTGTGTTCTTACGAGAACGGAGCAAGCGAGCGAAAAGAAACTAAAATGGCTTTAATATGACAGTAAGTGTTGCAAATTGCTGAATAACAATTTTAGTTTAGGTTTGACACAGGGTGGTTTGGGGTTGTTTTTTTTTTTTGAAGTTGTTGTTTCTGCCCAAATCTGAAAGTAAAATCTCCTACACCACTTAGCGCACGAGGTTACCGTGTGTTTCTACCCGGGGGATGTTTGGTGACTCAAGTTTTACCTCGGTCGTCTATCCACGACCAGCAATTCTTGATTATTTAGGAAAAAAAAAAAACAACAGAGCAAAGAAAGAAAGAAAGGAGGAGACAACTCCCAGGCTTGTGCTGTGGAATTGTGTTGCTTATTATCGAGATTGTCCTCATGAAAGATACATTAACTTTTCCTTCCAGCATTCTGTTCACATTGGAAGAAGGGCTTGTGTCTCTGAAATCTTCACGTTCGGGGTTTTGGTTTTTTTCCTCCCCAGCTTGTGTTTGTTGATGAAATGAAAGCCAGTACCTTTCCCTGCAAACCTGGCCCTGTGTTTTAAACCCTGGGCAGTGTACGGGGCCGTTAATTAAAGGCAACAAAGCCACTTCCACTTCGCTGACGTCTTACTCTGCGTTTGCGCAGTGCGTGGCTGCTGGTCTCGCTGCTGCCGTAGCACGGAGGGTACGGAAGGGGAAAAACCCCTTTCCTGCCGCTTTGGGTTCGAGGCAGCTCTGTGATATCGTGTTATGTCATTCCTGCCATGGGGAAGTCTTCGGGGTGGGGTTTTGCACGACACGGGGGCAGCTGGTTCGCTCCTCCTCGGTGCAAGCGCGGTGCCCAGGAGCGCGGCTCCCACGGCGCGACGCTCAGCTCGCCGGCGATCGGTCCGGTCCCGAGTGAAACGTCAGGGTGTTTCCTTCAGCCTCCCGGCTGCTTTCCAGCCTTGGCGAATCTCTCGAACTTACTAAATTTCCATTGGGCTTGAATATGGTATTTTTTCCCCTTCCTGCCCTTTGGCACCTTGCAAACAGTTGCTGCGTGCTCTGAAACAGCTGATGTTTCGTGCTGGGAGAGGCTGCGTCTCCGCGCCGAGCGAAAAATGTTCCTTTCCTTCCCTCTTCCCCACTCTCCGCGAGCGTAGGTACGTGCACGGCCGAGTCGCGCAGCCAGGAACATTTCTGAGGAGCCCAAGGGTCCGTTCGGAGGCTGATGAGATGCAGGAGAGAAACGCAGAGCTGGCAGCTCCCCTTGTCCCGCTGGCAGATAAACCCCAGCAACGCTCCTAGGATAGAAGTTTGGGCCTGGGTGGAGCGTGCAGAGGAGGAAGGTGCTTGCCTGTGGATAAATACCTGCATCACAGAATCACAGAATCCGTGTTTCCAGTTAGGTATTGCTTCCCCTCGCAGAGACAGACCTCGCCAGCCTCTCCCAAACTTGCTCTGACCTAGAAAAAGCCTTTTTGCTGCAACAGCTGCACTTTATTACATCTTCACTGGTGGTCTTTTGTAGTTTATTAGCCAAAGAAACAGATAAGTATAATCCAGGCAATTATCATTAGTGGTAATATATTGTAATCAGAGGCACATGTGCAGTAAAATCTCCATTCTGTTGTCCAGGGATGGTAGGTTTGGGACAAATATTGGAGAATTTGTTAAACCACGCAGAAGAAAAAGCGGTGGTAGCTTTAGAGGGGGGTGGAGGCTCGTATTGTTTAAATCCTTCTGCTTCTGGGGATGGAGGGTTATTCAGAGTTCTGCTCTTTGAGCCCCAAGAAGCCCTTGGCTGGGACTCGCTCGTTTAACTTCGGGGCAGGAGCAAAGCTCTCATGAGAATGTTGCGTGTTTCGGCGTGTGGGCTGGGCGAGGAGCTGGGGCGGCTGGGATGGGTCAGGAGGGATCCGCTCGCCTCTTTGGAGATAAATTCACATAAATCCACGCCAGATCAGCGGGTTTGGGGCAAGGGGGCAGAGAACCAGCTGCGTTATGCTTCGCTCTCCCAGTTCTTCACTCTGGCTTGGGTGAGGAGCGAGGTGTTGGCTGGCTGGGGGACCGGTGATGGGCTGCGTGCTGTCAGCTTAGTGATACGTATTGTGTGCCGGTTCTTAGGGAAGGAAGCAGCTTAAATGAGCCAGGTGGTTTGGAGACTCACGGCCTTTCATGCCTTTCACGTTTGGAGCCGATTTTCATTGCCGCAGGGTCTCGGTTGGACAAACTCGAGCTGTCTGCCGCGCCGGGCGGTCGCGGTCGCCCTGCCGCGGTACCGTCCCCTCGCCTCGCAGCGTCCCTGCGGCGGCACGTCCCGGAGGCGCAGTCCCAGAGCCCTTCGCAGCAGATCGATGTACAGATTCAATTAGAGCTGTACGTCAGTGCATAACTGCCGGCGACAGCAACCAGTGCTTGGCATCTGCAGAGCAGGGGGGTCTCCTTCTTCTTTCTCCTTCTCCTTTCTCCTTTCTCCTTCCTCCTTCTCCTTTCTCCTTCTCCTTTCTCCTTCTCCTTCTCCTTTCTCCTTCTCCTTTCTCCTTCTCCTTTCTCCTTCTCCTTTCTCCTTCTCCTTTCTCCTTCTCCTTTCTCCTTCTCCTTTCTCCTTCTCCTTTCTCCTTCTCCTTTCTCCTTCTCCTTTCTCCTTCTCCTTTCTCCTTCTCCTTTCTCCTTCTCCTTTCTCCTTCTCCTTTCTCCTTCTCCTTTCTCCTTCTCCTTTCTCCTTCTCCTTTCTCCTTCTCCTTTCTCCTTCTCCTTTCTCCTTCTCCTTTCTCCTTCTCCTTTCTCCTTCTCCTTTCTCCTTCTCCTTTCTCCTTCTCCTTTCTCCTTCTCCTTTCTCCTTCTCCTTTCTCCTTCTCCTTTCTCCTTCTCCTTTCTCCTTCTCCTTTCTCCTTCTCCTTTCTCCTTCTCCTTTCTCCTTCTCCTTTCTCCTTCTCCTTTCTCCTTCTCCTTTCTCCTTCTCCTTTCTCCTTCTCCTTTCTCCTTCTCCTTTCTCCTTCTCCTTTCTCCTTCTCCTTTCTCCTTCTCCTTTCTCCTTCTCCTTTCTCCTTCTCCTTTCTCCTTCTCCTTTCTCCTTCTCCTTTCTCCTTCTCCTTTCTCCTTCTCCTTTCTCCTTCTCCTTTCTCCTTCTCCTTTCTCCTTCTCCTTTCTCCTTCTCCTTTCTCCTTCTCCTTTCTCCTTCTCCTTTCTCCTTCTCCTTTCTCCTTCTCCTTTGCAGAGCCAGCGCTGTGGCTGGTTTTTTAAAGCGCTGCCGGAGTACAGTGTCCTTCCATTACGGGCTTCAAAATCGCACCGAGTTGATACTAGGAGCAAAAAGGGGGGACTGTACCTACAGCTTCGTTTCTGCTCCTTTTCGCCCTAGTCGGAAGGGCTGGTTTTAATTTCCCCCTTCCTGGTGGGTGGACGGGCCCACGACGGACGTGTGGGCACGGGCTGAGGAATGGCAGGCATCCCCCTGCCCAGCCCAGATGCTTCGGCCCCTTGTGCCTCTCCCAGCTTCCTCCTCACCTCACCCGCCGTCGCTTTCTCGTGCATCTCGCGCTCCCCAGCTCTGTTATTCCTTTTCCCTCTGTCCTTTGCCTGCCATAGACCCTGCCCGCTTCCTTTTGCTTTTGTTATCCAAGTCGTTGTCCCTAAAATAATGCCGTTGGGAAGAGCACACACACATGCCAGCCTAGTCCAGCTCACAGGGCTGCCAACAAGAGTGCTTGGGACACTGGCAAAGGGTTTTACCGTTATTTTTCCCTGCACCAAAGCCCTAGCAGCTTGTTCTCATTGCTGACACTAAAAACGGGGGCTGGAGGAAGCGGCGGGGCGGGCACCCGGGGGGGGGGGGGGGGGGGGGGGGCCCCCCCCCCCCCACGGCAGCAGCCACGTCTGCCCAAACCAGGGGCAAACCGGTGGCCCGGAGCATCCGACGCCGCACCGCCTGTCCCGCTGCCCCAGCCCGGCACCGCTTTTGCTA